TACGTCCCGTCAAATTAAGAGACTTTGTTGAATTGTAATTTTGTGTTTGTAATTCTGTACAGTTAATTAAGTTACTGTTAATTGTTATTGGTTTATTGTATGTGGTTATTGTTCGGGACGAACAATATTAAGGAGGGGGCAGTGTTGCGTTATCGAGATCACGTGACTATTCTCACGCCCTCTAGTTTCTAGAACTATCCCGTACCTTGGCAAATGCTCTAGTATTTACTAGATAGGGTAGTCTGGTATATATAAGAGGGTGACAACGTGACGCGGGAAGGGATTGTAATGTGTGTGTGAAGATAGTGAGTAACTGAACTGCAGTCAGAAGTATTATTGACGTTCGTTGATATAGTGTTTGTTTTAGCGCGAGTGTTGAAAATAAGTGCATCGTAAAGTTGTATTCGGAAAGAATAAACCAGTTTTATTAAGTAAAGAACTTGTGTCGCTAAAGTTTCGTCGGAACGAAGTTACGGAAAGTTAATTAACAAACGGAGACGTAACAATATATTAGATTATATGTCTTTCATGCAATAAATAACGCTCCCACAAATGCTTCTTTAGCAGTTTCAAGGTACTTAATAAGATCTGAAATGTGACTATTTAGACAAAATAACAGAAGGTACAATGCAGCATGAGCTAACAACAAAAAGAAAAATGAATTCACAAATGTCATTACCCTATACATTTCTTAATAAGTAGCTGAAACTTTCTTATGTTTTTATTTTTCTATGACCATCCAAGTAATGTAATTTGCCTATTACAATCATAGTATTCTAATGTATGCCGAATTACTTTTGAAGTCCAAATTCATGTCAGTTGAGAGCTCCCTTATCAAATGTTTTTCTCAACACAACCGTAATAAAAGATTCACAGTTCAGTTAATTTTTGTAGAATTTTGGTTATGAATAAGGAGAAGAGTTTGATGTAGGTGTTTATTATAAAGCAACCTTTTCGAACCTCCACCTTGATAGTTTAATACCTTTGAAGTTTAAAGAATATGTGGTTAAAATGTTGATTTATTGAGCCTATATTCTTATTAGCACTTGCTGAATATGTAAGAATGAGTTAAAAATATAAAGAAATATCTTCTCTAAGAATAACTTTCCAAATAGTGTAATAAGAAATATAGTTAATAAATTCCTTACTGTTGTTTCTAACCATCTGAAAATGATGTACAAAATGCAAAAGAAAGCTATTCATGTCACACTATCATTCATTGGTAAGTATGGTCGATAAAGAAACAGTTAATCCACAAATTCAGTTGAGGGTCATTTTCAAAACTGCTGTGACCAAACTTTAACAAATTCTTAATTATCAGTTCAGTGGAGCATAATATCATCTAAGGACCAAAGAAAACGTGATGATTAAGAAACTAAAACCTTAACTTAATTGGATTTTAAGTGCTTTGGAACTTTTGATCGAATTATGAGATATCAATTGTTTGTACCAGAATAATCCATAATGCTATTTATCTCTGGGTGTATGCTCTACCCACATCAGTAATTGCTATTCCAATGAAAAAGTACTGGATAACAATTCCTCAATGTATCACATAACCCTTCAGAGGAAAGTTCCACTTTTCTCCTTTACATAGTGTACTGTATTTTGCAACAAGAAAACACACGTGATATCATAGGGGAATAGCCAAGAACACTAGGCAACTAGAGCAAATTCTATTGTTGAAATTATTCATACATATAGAAACATGTATGGCATAATGTCATGAGAATCTGTCATTACATAGTATAATTACATATGATTGAATCATATGAAACTGCCTGTAATTATTGCCAATAATTGGATTTTAGGCTGTGATGCCACTTCCCCATCAGAGTGCCAATATACCTACTCTGCTGGCCTTATTATGTTTCGTTTTATTTTTCCCATCAACATTTGTAAAATTCTGCAAGTAATTGGATTATATATATATATATATATGCATACAATAACATTTTACTTTTTGTTGTTGCACAGAATATGTCCAAAATTATTTAAATGTTGGCTTTCTAAATATTTAGTTACTTTTTACACATATATTATTATACATGTTGATGTCCATCCTATGATGTTTCTCTGATGTTTTTCTTTGCTGTGTATTTGTTATCGCAAAATTCACAGTCTTCAAAAGTAGTGATGTTTCTTAGATTCACAAACCAGGAAATATTCAAGAAATACTTAAATTTTATTAAAGTGGTTATAAAATTGTATAAGATAATAGTTTTTTTATATGAAATCATTTTGTATTTTTATTTATGGAAAAGTTACCTGCTGCAATCCCTAATTTTGAAGTACTAACTTATGGGAAGGCAACCAGTCAGCCACATTCTACCACCCACATTAAGGATTGACTATTACTCTTATAATGCACCCTCAGAACAAAATGCTGTGAACATTTTGTGGTGTCACACATATCTAAATCTAGCTTGCCAGTTCCGAAATACAGAGCTCTACCACATGGCCTATCCATGGCATACATTTTAATTAATTATGAAATTATTTAATCTAAACAAATTTTTAATTATAGCAGCCACTGTAAAGAAAAACAATAAGGCTGAAAGTGACAACATTATTTTACATAATATTTCTACAGCATTAGACTGGAGTTAGGAGCATAGTATGCAGAGCATATTCAGTGTTTTCTGTATTCTTTAATCTAATCAAGTGAAAACACCATGTTTGTCTAGAATATTCAACAATTTATGCACATATAGATTTCTAACAGTGTGTGTAGTTTTTGACAATATAGTGCTGATCATGAGATGTGGCTAGATTACATTTGCACTGGTTACCTATTGTTCTGGGTATTTCCCTATGGTGTCACATGCTTTCTTGGGGGAAATACTGCTATAGTATATGTAGGTGGAATACTTTATGTAGATGTTAACAGTGATTTTGATCATTGGAGAGTCTTGTAATATCTCAAGGATATTATTTGGAAGATCAACAGTAATGTGAGTAGCAAATGTGCTCGTGAAGACAAAAAACAATTTTATTTTATAAATGTGGTTGTTGAACTTTCCGGTCTTGTTTAGAATCTTTTAACAGTGCACTACTCTGATTGTCTTCAGATCTTAGCCAGGTCTGCCTTTTGGGTAAAAACTGCTGTCTGGTGTCTTGTGCACTTGTTAACTTTGTGGTGTCGTTTAATAAAAATTACTCTTTAATTTGTTTTTACATAGTGTTTTGTCTCTTTCAATTCAGTCAAAGGATTCAGATTGATTCTATAATACATCTTTTGTTGAATTTCAAGTTATTTGTAATTACTAATGAATCTGAACAGAAAATCAGTAGATCTGTGAATATCACAGTAGAATAGCAATTATTATTTCAGCCCAGAATACAGCTTGTTATTGTTGTAAGATTGTCCATCAGTTTCATTGGAAACATTTTTGAAATAATACAAGAAATATAAATGAAAAAAAAGCCTAATTAAGAATACCGTGTTTTGATATTTATATAGGCTATCAAAGAAAATCAAATCGTGTTATTATCCAAAATAAACATCAAATTTGCTCTTATATTGTTGAAAAATTAATGTTGCTAATAGCAGAAAATGTATTCTAAAAATACATTAATGAATACAAACAATATTTCAGATCACACTTATTTTCTTCATGAATTGGTTGTTATAACAAAATCTGAAAAATGGAAACCTAAATATAAAAAATAAAAACTTCCACATCTTAATGCTAAGCCTTTTCTTTGTTTGCTTTTTTTCCTAACCCAGATATCTTCTTTGAAGCATTACATCATTTGAAAGGTTATTTTCAATCACCTCTTATGTTTACACTGATTTGTTTTTAAGATATTTTTGTAATAAAGTCTTACTTTCAAAATTATTTAAATTTCTTTGTTAAATAATAAATTATATTTTTTTCTTAAAGGGTTACTAGGTTTGTAATAATGTAAAAAGTGATACATGGTACACTTAAGGATTAGTAAATTACAAAGGTGTGACCAATGACCCTGAGTACATCACTACTTGAAGATTTTAGCTTTAGATGTTGAGTATGTTATATTAAAATGATTTTGGAGCCTCATCACATTTTGCAGTAAATGTTGCCACGACCCATCTTGTTCTATCTGGTAGCTGTGTTTTTTGACAGTGTAATTCCCATTGCAAAATGCTCTGTTGTAAGGCTGTCATGTCAAAAGAATACCACTCCTCCTTGCTGGCTATCCATTATCCATCTATTCTATGTAGATGACAGTTTCTTAGTGCCAGTTTCAACAGTCCTATAACACAGAAATTCATAGTCGCTGCATCTGAAAACTTCACTGATATGTTTTCATATGGAATAGCCTGAATAATCATTTCATTGTCCAACTGCTTGAGGTATGTGATGGTTGAATGGCTATCTCATAGATAGGTATAACTTTTCCATATGGAGATTCTTCTTTATTGTGATACGTATTGTTGTTTGGAAGGCATGGATTGCTGTTGCATTGACATGTGTTTGTGGAGTCTGAACTGTTAAAGATGTTGCCCTTGCACTTTGCTTACTGAGACTGGCATACGACTTCTTGCAGACCTCTTTGTGGATGGTCCTAGTGCCTTAATTGATCCATATTCCTTTGTTTTCCAATGCCATTAAGTACAAGGTATATGTCGATCTTGAAAACACTAAATCTCTAATCTGAACACATTTTTGTGGTCAGAGATTGCAAATATTTTGCATCAGAAAGGGCTGTTACATGTCCTTTCCAAAAGTGGTCAATTTTCAGTGGTATCACACTACCTACGAAATGCCAAACAATGTCAAAATGTAACTTTGATACCCACTGTGATTTTATGTTTGCTGTGGTTGTCACGCGAATTGCCGATTTTTCATATTCAAAATCATCTTAATGTAATGTACTTATATTTTTTTACTTTTTTTTCACAAGCAGTTCTACTCTATGGATGTAATTTGTATACCTAAACAAAATTATTTCTTCTAATAGTAATAATATAATTAAAAGTTATCATTACAGAAATAATTTTCATGAGTCAGATCTGCTGATTCAAACATTTTTATTACAAAATTAGTAAGAAAACATCTCTTTCCATTAATATAAATGACAATCTACAGAGAATTCTGATATCTTTCAGAAGGTTACTGCACAGAGTAAGTATATAGTCACCTTCAGAATCACACAAGAATTCCGTAGAAATATGTACACAGACTTTTTTTGGGGGGGGCTTACTACACCCAACTTTTACAGAAACAGTTACATTGTAAAGATAGCTCTCTTTATGAAAAGTGAGCAACCATGAGATGTCCAAAAATTTTTCAAATATTCAACAGAACAAAAGGAATAAAAACTACTATACTTTATAGGAGAAAAGATGGTTAAGAAGAGTACAACTAGCTAAAGTACCTTTTTGTTCCAGAACAAACACTGAAAGTTATGAATCAGAATTAGCTATAGTAAAAATCCCACTGCATTAATGCTGATTTGAATTTACTACATGAAGATTTATTTGAATGGTTTATTTGTTATTTCTTGAAGCTTCCATTGACAGGAATTTCTGATCTAGGTGGCATCAAATTTTGTAACTTGCAGATAGCTCCAGTAAATATTCAACAGTAGATACAAATTTAGTTTTGAGAAGAGGATGAGCACACACGAGTACTCTTTCAACACCTTTAAAATGAGTTCAATTCCATTTTTACTTTATGATCACAGACAGACATTCAGAAATTCTTTCTCAATACTTGGTCCCTCTAACAAACATGCAGTTTGAAGTGGTCACATTGTTTCTATGTTTTTCTTCCTGAGTCCACCACAAAAGCAAGAATTATTATAGGCATTAAACCTAGCTAAAATTTTAAAGCCATCCATACTTTCTGCAAACTCAAATAGATAGAAAGAAATTATAAGTTTTCATCTCATAACATTACTAATGTAACAACATCTTATCCATCATTGCAATCAACTTCTTATAATTCATATAATTAAAACTCACCAGTTACCAATAGCTTTCTTTTTTATTTATTATATATTATTAGTTGTTACAGCATCATCAGTGCTCAACCTAAAAAAGCATAAGAAACCTAGAAGTACCTTAACATAAAAGAACACAATAACAATACACCTACCAGTGAGTGATATTATATAATTAACTGTTACCACTTAGAAGGTAAGAAGGAATATACTGGCTATTAAACAAATTAATAAGCAACCATAAGGTTTAGTTAGAGGTAAGCACTTAATTGCTGTATTAATAATTGTTCACTTTTTCAAATCTGCACATTTAAAAACAAAAACTTTTAAACCCCCTAAGAAGAATTTTTCCATTTATATTATATACCACATTTAAGTACTAATACCTTTAAACTCATTTTTTAGCAATTGAGACTTTCAACTATATCAGTAGATATATACATATATATTTTCACAATTACAAACCAACCTCATTTTTAACACTGTACAGTTTAAAAAATCGTATTCCTATTTCAGCAACCTTTTTTATACTTTGTTACACCAATTTTCAGAGCTAAAACTTGAATTTTTTTTAATTTAACAACAGCAAGGTGTCCACTCTTGCTTTACTTTGTTTCAAAGAAAAAAAAAGCTTCCAGTCATTAGTTTTTCTTATTACATAGACTATTTTACAACATCTCTGTGATTGTACAGGCATTTCTTTAACCTACAAGAACTTTCATGTTAATATATCTCTTTATTTACTTTTCTGTTTGTTTCAAATATACATAAAAAATTAACATACCACAATAAAAGTCAAATTAGTTACATTGTAAAAAACATTTAGTGGTAACAAGATTCATAATAGTATTTTGCCAATTAAAATGTACTACTCTTTCTCTCAGTTTTCTAGACTTGAGACTCTTATCATGGATTTTTTTATAACTTAAGTTTCTTACAAAAGATTACTGTTAACAGCCAATTGAGGTTGATAGTAGGAAGGTGTTTCATTCAAATCAAAATTAAGATTTATACATCCAATTGGGTAGTTAAAAAATATTTCTTGGTTGGTGGATTGAAACAAAATGTTGATGGTTGTTGAATTTAGCATAAGACTGCTAGAAGGATATCAGCACTAGCCGTTCCTAGTTTAGAAATGATAGACTAGAGGGAAGTCAGCTAGTCAACACAAACCACTTCCAATTCTTGGGACATTATAATTGAACAGTGGGATTGACTGTCACATTACAATGGCCTCATGGCTTAAAGGGCAAGCATGTTCAGTGATGGGATTTGAACCCATGATCTTCAGATTGTGAGTCAACCACCCTAACCACCAGGCCATGCCAGGCCCTAAAAGAAAATATCTATTAAGCTTTTCAAAGAAATTTTCCCATTAAAATCTGGCAAAGGAAACAAAAAATAATGATAGTTAGAGTACTAAGAAATTGAAATACTCCTGTTTTTTTTTTAACTACTCCAGTAAAGTGGAGTATGTACAGTGGAAAAAATCCATTGAAAAAAACATTTAGAGTATTTATACTCAATAAAGAAATAGATTAAAAAATGATATTAACCTTTTTCTGTCAATGGAATCTTTAGGACGTTTACTTTTTGATGCTTGCAGCCACCCATGTTGAACTCAAAACAGAGTTTAGTTATTTGAAGGTAAGCACAAAGCTACACAATTGACCAGTTTCTAGCAGTGTAAGTCTGCAAACATACCACTGTGCCAGTGGGGAGCCCCCAAAAATAGAGATTAGGTAAAAGTGCAGTGTGTGTAAAAAGAGGAGGTTTAAACAATTTATTTCTTATAACTTACTAAATGCTTGTACTAAATCAAACATAATTCTAGTAAAAATTAAAAAAAAGTTGATCATACAAACTTACATTCTATAAACCCTTTCTTATTTATTATGGATACATTTATTTTGTTATCATACCAAAGGTTACTTCATAAGAATAAAAGTGAATTTTTATTTTATTAACATCTCATACATTTGGCCATTTTAGTTAAAATCGATTTGGTTAATATTATAAAGAGAGGGTTAGAAATAGTAAAGTATAACCTAATTGTTGGTACAAAGTGTATTCTATCAACATCTACCACTTTTAGTAAAATACGTTTCCCAATCTTAGCTCTCATGCTTATGCTATGCATAAATGGTTTCTACAAGTGTTTAATCTATCTTATTATAAACCCTAAATAAATTCTCTTCAAAATCATCCTTCCATATGCTACCATATTTTCTAGATATATTTGTTATAATAGTTATTTCAGAGAAATTAATGCATTAAGATCATAAAAAAATCATGCATGTGTTTCTATGTGCACACGAAAAATATGTATGAAATTAATTTTTCTTTTTTAATTTAAACTGTAATATAATACATCCATTCACAGATCATTTCATCTGACAGTGCTCATAAAGCATCCAAGTCTTTCATCTTAATCACTTCCAGGAGTGTTTCTTAAGGGTATTTCTAATGACAAAAATTACAGGGTAGGAAGTATTTAATTTGAAAGAAGACAGAGCTTTTAGAATTTATAAGTGTTCTGACTTGTCTGCTTTCATGGTTAAGGCAATTTATTCCCTTAGGTTGTCTCTACAACAATACACAAACTACAAGATTTAATTTGATGAGTTTATTAACTGTATAATCAAAACTGTTCTCTGTTTGATACAATAACATTTCAAAAATATCATGGACTGCTTAATTCATTTATTTATATGCAACCAAATAAACTGAGAATGTCTAGAAAAGTGAGAGAAGAACATACACAAACGAAACATAACTCACCAACATTCAGTCAGCAGTTTTTTTTCATCAGAGACTGTTATCCCAAATAAAATAGATGTATATTTGCTATAGCTTGTTACATATGAAATAATATATTTTTCCAGTTTCAAATTTAAAGACGAGTGTGTAATGTGTTATGAAAATGAGTAATTCTTTTGCTGTAATAGTCTTGCATTTCCTTCTCAACTTAATGAACTTTCATATTATCCAGGAGGCATCGCTAAATCATAAATGGCATGAGAGTTATTTTGAAGAGTTATTCCACCCGTGTATCATATGTTATTTCAACAATGTACTTGTCTAACAATTTTATCTTTAGTAATACTGGACTTTTTAGTATTGTTATGACAAGCATATAGCATTCACATAGTGACTAATGAACTTTCACCACAAAATTTTGTGCTGAAAGGAATCCCCTTTGCAACCACAACACCAGTTGAAAACTAGGCCAGTTAAAGTAATTATACTGAGGGTCCCATTCACCATGACTTTGTTGCCAGGTCAATTTATATTTTTGTCTTGTTCAGGTACTAAGGGAACATATAAAACATTTTCTTCTGAATTTTTTTTTTCATATTATTACCTCCATTCTGTTACCCTTCCGAGTAATTTTTAGCTGGCCAGGTTGGACCTCAGGAAGCCCTACAGACTTAAAGGTGAGAATGGCATTCTCCTTACCAAAATTGGCTTCAAATCTAAAAAAAAAAGTAGACAACAGTATCAGTTTGATAATTCTGAAATACAAAAAAACTTGTGTTATAACAATACCTATATGAAAAAATGCTCTATAAGTTGTAAGGAAACTATTAGCATATAATGCAGTTATGCATTCAAAACTTATTTTCCTCACTAAATCAAATATAGTTATTACATGTAATAAATTATCCTTACCCAGTAATTAAAAAAAAGATCTTATTGCTTTATTATCTCTAATACAAAAATGTGCTTGAAAGTAATTAATATTATGTAAAGTCTGTCTAAGGTCTCTTAATAGTGATTACAAGTATCTGGTTGACTAAAAAATTTATCAGAAAATATCTAAGTTCCTTTATGATGTTTATATAATTTTGTAAAAGTTATAATTTTCCTACACTGAAAATGTATTTCTGATAGGTACTTACCTTCTGTCACATAAATAGCTATTCTTGTTTAGTGCTGCCTTCTATATGCAAAAACATTTTTTATGAATGCCACAAGTCTTCTATCTCCACTCCATTGGAATTGGCTAATTCCAATGCAACTCTCATGCATTAGCCTTCCACCAATAAGAGTGTGACATACTCTCATGATGCATGTAGCTCCCTCTATTCAATTCTACCAAACTATCAGTTTTGGCAGAAAATGGAAGCACCAGTTTTCAGTTGGGAGGAAGGGTGTTAAGTACCTATTGGAAATACATTTTCAGTGTAGGAAAATTATAACTTCTGATACAGTAAATTACCTCATTTCACATAAATTGCTAGAATCCCACATTGAACTGATGGAGGGACCAGTGCAAGGGAAAGAAAGAAAGAAGCATCTTTTGAAAGCATCCGAAGGACACTCCCTAACATTAGACAGTAAGATTCTAGGATCTGAAGTTGGGAACCACATCACTTATGAACCAGGTACACTCTTTGCCCATCATAGAAAGATGTTGCATATATGGGTGGAAAATAGAGGAGCACAGCAAACTGGAAGAGAACTATTGCCAGAAAGTGTTCCGAACCATATATATGAATAATATTTATGAAACTCAATCCCAGAAATTACAAAAGTGGGTAAAATCAAACGGATATGCCCCTAGGTGTAGAGTGGCTATGCCTATGACAGACTATACATGGCAAATCAACTACATCCAAAACCCAGCCATCTGGCAAGGGTAAGAAAGAGGATCATACCATTGTCACTTCTAATTGAATGAGACTGGAGGGAATCTAGTACCCCCTAGGTGTAGAGTGGCTATGGCATGACAGACCACAGATGGCAAATCAACTACATCCAAAACCCAGCTATCTGGCAGGGGTAAGAAAGAGGATCATACCATCTTCATCTCAAGTTCATGAGACTGGAGAAAATCTAGTACCCCCCAAATCATGAACAAGGCACATGTGAATATGATAAATTGACAGATTGATCCAGGAACCCAACATCCAGTATCGAAAAAATGTCTAAATAATGTAAACTATCTCCCTCAAAAGTGAAACTGACTGGAACCACCCCAAATGCATTAACATCCTCGGTATAAGAAACATCAAGAGATAGTGAAAGGGAAAGAAGCATAATAATCCACAATTACCACCACTGTGACTCATAACACTGATGGAGAAATATAGACATCTGTATACTTAAGTTGATTGGTTCTACTCTAAGACCAAAACCCAGCCACTAGGAACCGACATCCATGTGGGGGTAGGATGAGGGATCCCAATCAAAGGGGTGAACTGCAATTTTGACATCTCACTCCCAGTTGTTTTTATGCTTCGTATTGAAGGATATCATGTCATATACACCAGCAAAACGCCACCACCTTATTCTCAACTGAATGGTTTTTATAATCATTTCTGTATTTTGTTTGTATTTCATTAATCCATTCAGGAGGATGCCATGATCCACCACCCCAGCAGCTTGGAACTGGAATGTAGTAGGGACTCTCAAATTTCACTAGAAGAAAAGAGGGGTAAAACACAGTTGAGAGTCTAGAGGAACAACAACATCTGAGACAGTGCAATGGGTGACCACTATTTTTAAAAGCAGACCATACCAATTTAATCAATATAAGGCATGGGTGAGTACAGTTCAGGACAGGCAAACTTATGAAGCAATTCTGTCACAAGGATAAACCTACAAGCAATCTTGAGGAACATCCCATCTATGCAGTGTGCATTGCATGGTCATGGAATTATAATATACAAGTTCACATGGCTTGACAGTGCACATTTGAACAATTAGAGAATACCTGGTCAGGCACCACTCGCCACAGATCAGAATCCAAACAATGAACATTAATAAAAGGGGAAAGGGCCCCTGAAAAGGAAAAAATGAAAAGAAAAAAAAGTCTCACTGAATTCCAATAGTCTAAAATGGCTATAGGCAGAAAACGATAACCCAAAGAGAAAGAAAACCGCAATCTTATGCAAATAGTGAGAGACGAATGTATCATGGGTAGTCCACATGCCCGAATGAAGAAGTACCTCCAAAGGACAACAAGGATGAAATGCCCATGATAAGGGAAGGTGTCGAATTCAGTGAGAAGACACTCCGAACAAAATATGGGAGGAAGACAATAAAGAGGAAGAAGCCAATCGAATGAAGAGCCAAACCCAATTGGTGAAGGAGGAAGTGAGAGAAGTCAAACAAAGGATGGTTGCCAGGGGAGAAAGAGGCAGGAACAGACACTATAGAAGGAAGCCATGCAGGCAATATAAAAGAGAAGAGCATGTACAGGACATACAAGTCTATCTGGATCAGGACGAGGATAAAGGTGTGAAACAGAAGGAAGGGAAATTGGCTAAACATAGGAGTTATCCTTACAAACTGCCAAAGTGTGTGGAAGAAAAAATGATCCAGAGAAAGGAGAAGATATGTAGAAGGATAGAGAGTATACGACATACTAATGGCAAATAAACAGACCACCGAGGTCCACAGGTGGATAGGAGAAGGAAGGAAGACATAAGGGAATGTGAAACAAGGAGCACTGGAAGCCTGGTTCAAATGTAGGCAAAGTGAGGCAGTGCACGACCACATTAATATCCCAATCTGGAAGGGCAGCCTGGGATGATAGGGATGATACAGCTATACATAAATCATTCCTACATGACTTTCAATATTAAAATTTAATGTACACTGTAAAATGCACAAGTACAAAATTTGACTGACCTCGTAACAAGAGTTTTCAATATCTTTAATAATCAAGACATGTTTTGACTCAACTTGGTTTTCCTTGTATGTAAGTTCTAGGCTCTTAATTACACTAGATTGATGCCTACCTTCACATGACCATGATATTATGATAAAAAAAACTGCATACCAACAGTCAGGAATATACAACTTCTAATTGCAGTAATATCAAAGGCAAGTACGCATCTTACAGTGAAACATTTAAATTTTAATATTGAAAGTCATGTTGGGATGATCAAAGTATAAGTGTATCATCCCTAAATTTTTGTTTGCGTTCTTTTTGGCACTGCCATCTCTACATCATTTTACACTTACAAGTGTTTTTATTACATGTTTTGTGACATTTTTCCCCTGATCAAAAGTTAGTGTATTCTATGAATGTGTGTAATAAAATTTAATATTATGTGTATTAACTTTTTTTTTACTCCCTCACTTCATACACAATATAGGGGTTGGTTCCATAAAGACACTGATTGTATAGTGTACAAAGCATTGAGTATCTACATGTTACAGTCATCTAATGTTTATCTGTTATTGGCTGATAATTCCTGTTTCACCCTGTAGTTACGTTTTTTAAAGGAACACCAGACTTCTGTAAGAAAGCTAACTTCAAGGGTTAATTATAACATCGTTTACACTAGAATTTTTTTTTTTAAATTACTACTAATTATTATGACATTGTGCACTGACCAGAAACAAATAGTGGATTTAGGTTTAAATTGATGTTAGTGATAAAGTAGTTGTATATATATATCTACTGAAACAAGATGAAGAAAGATGAACAGTTTGATGGGTTGGTCACTTTCTGGTTTGGTATCTTAATGATGGTTTCTTGCCTTAATTTAGGGCTTCTGGGTAGAGAAACAAATGAAAATGAGTGGCAATCATATTTTAAAGTAAAACTCTCTGTAATTATTGATTTTTAGCATACATATTTGTATTCTATTCAGTGCTTTGGCCATCCCTACATATAGAGTCTACTGACTATGATAATAAGAAAAAAATAATTTTAAATATTAAGATCATAACACTTACAGTTAAAATCATAATAGGCTAACTAAAATTATATAGATTGTTGTTAAAATCCTATTTAACTATTAAAATAATTTGCTTAAGTAAAATTAATATTATCCTACTTACTTGATGATAGATAAATACCTCCTTATTTGATATGAAAACAGTCTGACACTAACACAAATTATTTGATGTGTTGAAAAAATCAGTCTCTGGCTGTTTTTTAATATATAAACTTTGTACTTATAGCTTTAAATTACAGATAGATAAGCAATAAAATGAATTGGATGTTAACAAACATACAGTGGAAGCACATAAACCATATTTACGAATAAAGTATTCAAAGTGAGTACATATATGCAGTATTTAGAGATAAAGTATTCAGTTATGTATACATTAGTAGTACTTAGAAAGCATTGATGTAAATACATATATGCAGTATTTAAAAAATGCTTTACTAGCAAGCATTAGGAGTCTACCCCCTTTAGTTCAGTTGTAAAACATTCATCTAGTATGCAACAGGTCTTGGGTTCAAATTCAAGGTAGGGAAATAGACATATCATGAAAATAAATTACCACATTGGTGCTCAATGTAGGGACATCCCACGACCCTGAAATTAGGATGAAAAATCGGCCTTGTATGTGACAGGGGAAGAATGTATTAGTTTAAGTACTTACAAATGTTTCATTAGTAAATGCTAGGGGGTAACTTTTTGCTCAATTGATAGATTACTTCGAAATGGTGTATTTAAGTGTTTTACACTCACAAAAAAGAAACCTATCATTCTATAGGTATTTTAAG